GTGAACTCAGGTGAGAGCTTCCCGCAGACCTTCACACGGCCGCGGGAGTTGGCGTACAGCGCCTTAAGGAAGGTCAAGAATTTACGGGGAACACCTTTGCTCCACAGTCACTGCCGCAGTGCATGACGGTCCGTATAGTCAAAAGTAGCTTTCAGATCAAGAAACTCACCCATTGTTGGCTGATGTAAGCAGTGTCGCTGTTCCAGAATCTGTCGGAGAGATATGATATGATCGATGCAACCTCTTGCAGGACGGAACCAAGCTTGGCTTTCACGGATCTGCCTCTCCCTGTGTTCGAAGGATAAGGGAGCGCCTTCCGATAAGGCCGGAGAGCGCCTTCGATGCCATAGCTGAAAGGCTGATGCCACGGTGGTTTTAACACAGCGTCCGCGTACCCTTTTTGAAGATAGGGATAACCGTCGACATGCCCCATTATCCAGGCGCCTTCTCTTCGTCCCATATGAGACCAATAAGCTTCGCCAGATGGGCCACCAGGAATTTTCCGCCTTCTTTGAAGAGGGCTAGATACAGACCGCTATGGAGTCGCCGTCAATAACCTACACGAGCTATGGTTCTGAGACAACGATTATGGAACATCTGAAGACGTCTCAGTTCCACTACTCGAAAAGACCGAATCCCACTGCAATCAGGCAATCAAAAATCAATATATGAGCTAGTAACTGTGTGCCATAATCACATTGGTTCCAGGTGCTACAGTTTCGATCACAGGAAAGCGGGACAGTGTGGAACAGACAGCCACGACTCAGAGGTGAGAGCACATGATAAGTTCGGCATTGGCTACCCACATGCTGAAGGCGATAGCTTTGATGCGCGAGGGCCACTGACTGAGAGATTGGACCACTTTTGCTAGCGTCATTAAACATTGGTTGAGTCTCGAAGTACCTATCCAGAGAGGCCGCAGTTGTCGACCCAAGATTACCGGTTAATCTTTCCACACTTCGCCGTCTCCAAGCATGTCCTAACCAGCGTAACCTATGAAGCGTAGGTAATTCACCTATCACGGAAGAGCCCTTTCTTCATAGGACTATCTGACGTACCTCAGCATTGCTAACCCGATGTTCCCACCAGACCTGACCAATGCTTCGTAAACCTTGATGGCCACACATTGACATTTTTCCTATGTCCTCCGCACATGAGGGCCACCTTTCGGATCCAGTAATCAATATTAGTAACACTGCCAGCTTGAACGCTGTACTTGATAAGTTAACTGACGTAACATCAGCGCCATACGTGCCGAAATTTGGCAAAAGGTGCCATGGCCTTCCTGATTCGAGAAGCAATCTTATCTCCAGTCAGTCCAACGGAACGTATACAGCTGCCCATGTAAGCGAATTAGTCTGCCACGTCGACTGGCTCGCCTGAAAACATGACGTTTGGGTTTGATTCCACACACCTCTGTAGAAGCACTTTACACACTGCAGGTGTAAAGTGCATACCTGACTGTAAGGTAGGTTAATTACATTTTCCAAAACGACCTGCAATTCTAAAGGATGTGACCCAGGGACAGCAATGTCACTCGCGTGCTGTCTCTCGGTGAACGCCCCGGGAGTAGTTCGACAATCAAGGTCTCAGAGGTAGACAGGGAATTTTAATCCGCATGTCAATGGCAGGGTTGAAGGGGAAAGGCGAGAAGGGAGCCTTATTTTACAGCATTGCAAGTGGTGGAGTTAGGCGCCCAAAGAAGTTTGTGCACAGTGAAGTCCGTCACGTCGCAGCTGTTGACCCCATCAGACTGACTGGGAGGCTGTGTACAATGCGACGGAGCGCCAATTAACTCTATGGAGACCAGCTAACGGAAGATGAAACCCTGGGCCATAGAAATGCTCACGCAGGAACGTGGACCCAAAAACATTACAGGGAATGGTGTCATATCCGGGCGCCTATCACACGATCAAGCCAGGGACCCACAGCACGTCAATTTGAAATACACGAGAACCACGAAAACGATGAGACAAACCTTTGAATACAGATTCTTAAGCCGTAGCAAAAGCCGTGGATGACTCAAGACATTCATTTGACATTCCTCGAATATTTCCAACATCGTAATTCCTTCTGTATCCAAATCTGTTTCTAAAACTAGATGAACATATAAAGACGAGAAAAGATTTAGTACCCATTTTTGAGGTTAGTAAGCCCGCTCTGGAGAGAAGAGGCTAGGCCGCGCACCTTTCCTGAAAGTTTTAACACGGTAAAACAAGAGCACTGCGGACAAATAACGAATTCACGGAATGTTTCGAGATTAAGAAAGGATAATAATGAGCGCGCGGGCTCAAAACACGTTAGCAATCGTATAAGTCTTCATCAGTGAGCTATCCTTTAATTTGAACCGCACAGTCACAGGCAAAAAAGTGAATGCAGTCGATGAATATTGGGCCAGCGGCTAGAGGCACAATGTATTTTTCTGCAAAACCCCTGCAGCCAAAATAAAATCTTTAACGTCAAAATGTTGCACTTCTTTGCATATATGCGTAGACCGAAAAAACCCCTCATCTGCCGTCATTTCTTTGCGATTTGTTTTAATCGCTGACGTTTGAAAATTATTGGCGTACATTCGGCTTTGAACATCGTCTGCTATGGCTTCGGAAGTGGCTTTCGTTGAGAAATTTGTGGGTGTCTCGTTTTCATCCTTCATGGCATTTGAGAAGACCTTAAATGAATACATGAAGG